ATAATACACAAGCATTTAAAAAGTTTAAAGACTATTAAACATCAAAGGAAACATCAAACGAACTAACCAAACTTTAGATTACAATATTTCATTAATGAGCTTATTCTTAAGAGTTATCTCCATCTCTAATAGTGGTTTAGTTTTCCCTATGAGACTATCAAGAAGTTTCTGCTTAGATAATCTCTCCTTCATTAGCAAGTCTTTCACCCTAATCACCCACATGCTCTCAAGAGGCTTTAGAGAAGCCTCTCTTTCTTCATATGTTACCTTAACACTCTTTTTCCCTTTCGCCTATAACGCCTTCACACCGATTGGCTTCTCCATTGTTTGCTCTTCCATTTTGCCTCATGTGTTAGAGGTTGAGTGATATATTATGATTTTACTGATTTATAACTGAATTTTAAAGGTTTTTATCGAATCTTTTTAGTGCTTTTAGAGTCTTTACAGGTCAAAACACGTTTGGATGAGATCTAAGGACTTGGAAATGGAATGGAAGAAAAAGGAGCAAATATGGTCTTTTCCAGAGTGCTGATCGATCGGTCCTTTATTGGACCAATCGATCCAAATGAGGTGTAGAGACAAGGACCCTATCGATCGATCCATATCCGATTGATCGATCCATATCCGATCGATCGATTCAAAGTTCAAGAATTTCCCGAGAGAAATTAGTTCGATCGATCCGATTGCCCGTAACATTTTAGATATATCAATCCAGGGGAGATCAATCAGTCCGAGAAGCCATCAATCGCCCGAGAAGATTTAGTTCGATCGATCTGGAGCCTTAACCAACCGGTTTGGTCACACAGAAAATAAAAAAACTTTGGGTTTATCCTATTCCAACTTGGTTTTCGACAATTTCTCAGGCAATTCGTGTCTGGACTTATATATACTTGTTTTTCAGCAATTGATTAGGCTACCTTTTATTTTCTATTTAGACTTTTAGCATTTTGAAATTAGTGAGTTTTGGGGAGACGGTCTTTCTACTCTACATATCTGAAAAGATTTCTGAACCCCAGTTGATTTCTATTTATTTATTATGTATTTCTCTTCATCTCTTCGCTTTTTTTTTCTTCTTCCATGTATGTGTAGTTTCATAATATCTCTTGGGAAATTCTTGAATTTTGGATTGATCAATCAGATATGGAGTTTGATTTACCTTTCTGCCTAATCAGACTAAACCACTTTTGATCGTGGCGAAGCACTCTCCATGCATGCTCTAGGGTGAAGTTAGTCCTCTGGTCCTGGAAGTATAAGTTGTACACCATCTCGAAGATATCATCCTCTGACTGGCCAATACTCCTTTTACGTTGAGCATGCTCGTAGCATCCAGAAAAATTTAGGACACTCTCGTTGATTTTCCCCCACCTCTACTTACAAGTATTCCACTCGCGTTTAGGAAGGTCCTTCACTGTGGGACTTGCTTCCTAAAAGCCCATGCTTACTGGTCATTTCCAACGATGGCATCCTTGCTGGTGTTTAAGCAAGCACTCAGCAGCACTCCATATTCAGGGACAGACTTACATCTAGCTTCTTTGCTAGCCTCGGGTGAATTCTCCTCTACATTTTGAACATCAATGTTTTGGGTACTAAAGAGTGGTGCTCCTGGATTACTATTTTGGGTACTAAATTGTGGTGTTTGCGATGAATTTATTTGGGAACTAAAGAGTGGTGTTTGTGGTGTATTTGTTTAGTTCAGAGGTCCGTAAATGTTTGAGAGTAACTAAAAAGAGTGTTACAAGCCATTTACTAAGCGTGGAGGAAAGAAAACAAGAAATAGTTTTGAGAGTTGTAACCCATAAAATGCGGTATAAATAGAAGAAATGGTTTTGTCTCTGTAAATGAGAAACGTAAATATTTAATTTGATAAGACATGGTTAGATGTTTAATTTAGTGAAAGTAAGTGAGCTCATTTATGTCTCACCTACGAGTTAAGTTTGAAAACATGAGTTATAGCTAGGGATATTAATTTGGGCCAAAGCCCGAAGCCCAGCCCGGTCCTAAAAAATATCGGCTTTGGGCTTTGGTATAAAAGCCCAAAAAAATTAGGTCTTTTGGACGGGAATATGGGACGGGATTTTGCGGGAATGTAACAGGACAGAGATATGAGAATCAAAATAATTGTCCCATATGTGTTCCATTCAAAATTTGGGACGGGACGGGAATGGAATGGGACGGGAATGGGACGGGATAGGACGGGAATGGGATGAGAATTCCCAAAAAATCTAATAACATGAAAATTTGACAATTGTAAAAAAAAAAATTAACATTCAATTTATATTCATCCATTGTTTATTTCCTAAATCCTAATAAATAATAATAACATGTCATATAAGATTATAAATTAACCAAGAAACAAATGAAATCAACTTTAACTTAATTATTAAAATTTAAAAGCTTCAATTTTTTTTAAAAAAAACCAACATAATCCATTGAATAGTAAACAAAAAACCACATATAGTCTATTAGTCATATATATTAAAATAAAAAATAAAATCCAACATAATCCGTTCAAATCTCAGCAGTCAGCATGCATTTAGACTATAACTTATAAGTTAGAACATTAGAAGTGCAACTTTTAAGTTTTAACTTTCGTTTATACAAAATAATATATTAATATATAATAATGATCATTTTTGGTAATATATTTTAAATATCTAATTTATTATTTATATATAATTCGGGACAAATAGAACTTCGGGAATTCCCGTTCCCGTCCCGCCCCGTCCCACTCCCAAATGGGAATCAATATGTTGTACCATATGGGAAGCACATTCCCATATGGTATGGGAATTTGGGATTGGGACTGAGACGGGATGGGACGGGACGGGATGGGACGGGAATTGTGCTCACCCCTAGTTTAAGCCTGATTGGTCTCGGGCTTACCCATAAAATGCAGTACTTTTTATATTATAATTTTGTTTAGAAATTTTTATTAATAAATTATCTTTATAATTTTTAAAATTAGAGTTATTAATTTTTTATAATACTCTTTATTAATATAAAATCTTAATTTTTAGTTGTGTGTCTTCATATAAACCTCAATGCTCAAACAAAACTAGTTTCAAGAAGCACTCCTACCTTCAACCTGAAGATTCTCAATTCGATTCTACCATTTCTACTATTTATATTACATATTTATTTAATTATATTTGAAATTAGAATTTATATAAATTCATAAGTTAAAGTTTTGCTTTCAGACTTGATAAAACTATATTTATGATTATTTAAATTGGGATTTAATTATAATAACTACTTTTTTTAGTTTATTTTATTTTCCTAAAAACCTGAAAAAGACTGATAACCCTGTTAGGGCCAGCCGTGCTTCAAAATATAGGCCTGATATATTTTCGGGCCGGGCCGGGCTGCGTTTAAATATATGCGGGCTTTACGGGTTTCGGGTCGGGTTTGTTGATGATCATTATTAAACATAGTAGAAATACATAACATTTAATGTGATTTGATATGTTGATGTCTTGTTACTTTTTATCCCTACATTCTGACCGCTTCATATGGGGATACAATTATTAGACATGTCTCTTCAAAAAAAATTTCCTATACTTTTCAATAATAGATGGAGAAGAAAGATTCGAATCGAATACTCACACGAAAATGGACAAGGTCGATAATGGACTCACCTCAAGTCGGCTCATCTGTTTGCATCTTCAACCTAAGGACATGATTACAGAATTCATTGTTAGAGTTGACATCACCAGATGGGGAAAAATAGACAGAAAAAGGGACATGATCTGAATCTATAACATGAGATCTGACCTATTGAAAAGAAAAATGAAACACAAAATGCAGTAGAGTGACAGAACTTGTAAAGCTTGCTTCTCAAATTCCTCGAATGTGGCCAAGAGATCATAGTCACGAGGTAAATGCACAAAGTGTTGGTTCCAGAAAGAGCTCTTCCCTTTGCTCATTTCGTACAATAAGCATACACTCAGTATCTGTAATTTCAAAGACTTTGGTTATGAAAATTTTTTCAGATAAGAAAACAGAATACCATCATGCAGAGAAAGAAAAACATGTGTCGAAGAAAGCGATCCCTGGACAATAATAGCATCCCACAATGTATGATCTTTTGCAACCATGGTTTATGTGGTCAACAAAGTGTTTATCGGCACTTTCAAAACCAATTCTCCTTTCCTGAGCTCACGAACAACACTCAAACCTCTCTCGTTCCATCAATTGAGCAAAAGAGTAATGAGAAGACAAATTTAAGGGGAAAAAATTTTAAAAAAAAATCAAATTCATTTCTTACACGCACCCACCAGCGAGAGAGAAGCCGGCGATGGAGAGGGAATGGCCGAGGCATGAATCGAGAAATCGAAAAGAAGAACAAATCGGAGATGAAAGGAGAAGAAGAAGATGAAGAGAATATCGGACCGATTGACACCTATTTTTTAAGAATCAATTCTTCTCCAAAAACCTATTCTAATTTTTTGATATGTCACATCAATTTTTTTTTTTTTTACTTAAGAAATTCACCTGAGTTCTGCATTACGGATGCTCTAAGTGGAGAGGTGCACTCGTTCACGGACATGTTTATTTAAAAAAAAACTATAGTGTAAAAAAAGATACATATTAAAAAGTATAAACTCAATTAATTATATTTCAAATTTCAATTAATATTTTTTACTGAAAAAATTATTAGATTAAACTTAAAAAAAATTAAATTTCTATATTAAAGGATTCAGAATTTTCAAAACTTCTATATTAAAAGGGGGAAAAAAATATTCATTGGGCCGGGCTGCCTCAAAAACACGGATTGGTGTCTAAGATCAGACCTGAAAAGCATTTATTGACAAATTGAGAACATGAAATTCGTTCATTAAACTAATGGATTCAGAAATTTTTCTGTGTATTTTGTTTCTAGAGAAATCAATGGTTAAGTAAACTATGAAGATACATTACATTTTCATTTTTATTTCTTTGCTAGTCAAGACAATAGAATCGTAATATTTTGAAGATAAGGAAACTCTGAAAGAACTTGGGGATCACGTTATACAACATAATTCATTATCATTCTGAGAAAAAAAACACAAATATAGAAAAAAAAAGATAAATATATGAAATGTTGATTCTTGTTCCCAATCACAATATCAATATGTATCAAATATCAAGTTTCTTTTATTTAGTCATCCTTAGACTTAGTCCTTAACCAAGAAGCAATATTTAACACATAATGAGTCTTAAATGAAAAGCAAAAGCATACAAACACCAGTCATAATCTTAGATGATAAGAAAAGTATAAGCGACAGTAATAGAGCAAACTTCATTGCCTTTGAGTCTAGCTTAGAAACCAAGCATATTTTTCTTCCGGAAGAGTAGACCATTTCTTCGGAAAAGAAGAAGGCAGAGTAGATGAGAAACAAAGATTCTCAGAGATTACTTGGATCTTGCATTTTGGTGAAGCTATTCTTAGAATCTTCTCAAGCTTCTTGAATGATTCAAACACCGCATTGTCATAAAATGTGTTGTAGTTTACTACTAACTGTTCAAGACACGGCATTTTCTCCAAGAAATACTTGATCTGATATATGTCCATCTCGCTGTTGTCATAGATGTGTCCAGACGTACTAAATATATTTAGCACCTTCACAGGAGAAGATGAAAGACAAGAAGGAGCATTCTCCAGGCGGTTACAACAGCACACGTTCCCACATCCTTTGTTATATTTGTGGCCGAGACCCTGAAGAAGAATAAAGGAAAAAGTTTCAAAGTTTTAGTTGCAACTAATAAACAAAGATACGCTTTAATGTGTTTTCTTTTCTACCTTCATAACAAGGGTTTTTAGTTTTGGACAATTCTTGAGCAGTCCTGGCAATGATTCCCATCCTATTTTCGGATTACTCTCGATCGTTAATTGAACCAGGTTCTTGAATTCTGGTATTGCTTTACAACTGAAAGTAAGTACCTAAAACAAAACAAAAACAAAAAACAAATCATCACTCTATTATTGTGATTTATTCACTTAAGCTCTATGTTGTTTGATTTCTTAATCTTTCTATATAGCCATAAGAACATGTTCATTGGGAGTTTTTAAAGTGTATTTCAACAATGAATAAAATAAAAAGTAAGAGAAATGATGAAAATTGTTCTCATTTGAGAACACATAAGAGACTTCTAATGAATAATTTAATTTTTTGAAACAAAAAAAATATTATGTATTTATTTAATTTATATTAAAATAATAATACTTTATTAGTAAAAATACTTTTTTTGATTTCTGAGTAATGCTAATGCTATATAATCGATAAAGATGATAATTAATGATATACATACCTGAAATGTTTCGGCAGATAAGAAAAGTATCTTGACATTGCATATCCCCACAAGAAAATGTGTGGCGTCTCCGACCATTTCTTTTGCCTTACCATCTTCTGTAAGGCTTGCATGTGCACTTTGATCTTTTGTCAGGCGAAGACCAATATGAGCTTCGATAAGCGAATTAAAACTGACTTTCAGATACTTCTCCGCAATAGTATCGAAATATGATAGGTAGACAAGATTAGGAGTATCAAACGTCACATTCATTGGATTCAAATCCATGTACTCCATGTGGTGGCAAAAAAGCGTTAATCTCTTGAGGGTTGTGAGGGAGACAGAGCAGGAGTTCCAATAACCCCACCCAAAGTTCATCAGAGTTAATTCCTCAAGCACGAGACAACCAGAGAGAAACTTTGCAAATGCAACATCAGCTTTTCCGTTCGCAACATCAGCTTTTCCGTTCGCAACATCAGCTTTTTCGAACAAAAGTGAATCGAGATAGAGACACTTAAGCTTTGGAAGAAAAACATTCACCGTCATGTCATAGGTAAACAAGAAACCCTCTCTCGATCCTATTCTCAGCTTAACTAGTGACTTGTTCTCAAACAGGAGCTTGTAGGGCAAATAATCCAAGAAAAACACGTTTAGATCAAGATCCAATACACCACGTTGCAACACATTATCCATCCAACGAGTGAGAGAAAATGGATCAATACCATCTCCACAACTTAGAGAGAATTTGTTAACTGTGCCACTCCCTATCACAGTTTGCAAATCCAATACTCTATCCACAAATTCAATATAACTTCTGGGATCCCTTTCACTTGCGTTGTAATCAAAATAAAGATTTTTCACATATACAAACAAAAAACGCCATCTTTTCGAGAGAAGAGATGTGGAAGCAGCTTCTTTGGTGGAAAGGAAAGACAAGATATGGGAAATCAGATGATTTGGAAGATCGCTGATTTCAACTTTTGAGACCAAATCCATCTTTTTGGAACCTGAGATCAGTAATTATACAATCATAAGGTTTCTTTAAGATTTCCGAAAAAAAACTAATTTACTAGACAATAATGAAAAGCAGACGCAGCGCTAATCAAGAAATAAGGATACTTATATATATCCATAATCAAAAATCATAAGATAAGATTACATAATTAATTCAGAGGTTTTATGGTGAGAAGAAAATGGATGATAAAAATTAGTGTTGTAGTCAGTGAAATAAACTATCAATGACAATCTGTTTCAGAGGAAGTAAGGATACTTACATGTACTCATAATCAAAATCATAAAATAAAATTATCTTGTAGATTCAGAGGTTTTGTGATGGAAAGGAAATGGATAACAAAAATTAGAGTTGCAATCAGTGAAATAAGCTCTTAATAATAATCTGTTTCAGGTGCGATTATGATTTGGAGTATGAGAGCCATACGATTAGATACGATTAGATAAAATTGTGAATGAAGATAAGATTTACGTGCGATAAGGTTATTTTATATTCTTGATTGGCAATGTGTTTTAGAGATAATTTGACCATGATTATAATACAGAATTACAAAAATAAATATAATCCAGCAAAATATAGAAAAATCCTAAAAACCAAAGTGCAAAATAAGAAAGTACAAGGTAAACCAAATAGTATACCACTAGTAATAACATGCCCACATGATAAGAAATTTATAAACAACTTTACTAAATACAATTTTAAAATTTTCAAAGTAAAAAAATTAATTAGTTTTATATGTATATTAATAACAATGTATGCGTAACACAAAAAAATTATTTATACATTTTGTCATTGTAGATTTATCAATATTTAAGAAACGTAAATAATTGTAAAATTATTTTAAAATAACAAAATTTACATAAAACATATATAAAATAGATTATATGTTTTTTAAATTTAATATTATTGATCAATTATCAAAAAATTATATATAAGTGAGTTAATATTTATAAACTCTTAACTTTTGATCCAATACAAATATTTTTAATATCAAAATAAAATTGATTTTTAGGTATATAGCATGTTAAAAAGTTATTTTATATTTGTTTTGAATTTTTTGGAATTTTTTAGGTTTTTTCTTAAAATGTTTAAAATATATATTTTTAAATATAAATTTTGATTTTTTCTATTATTTTGAAATATTTTTTGAATTTTAATATAATATTTTATCAATAGAAAATAAAAATAAAAGATAAATTTGGTATTAAATCAAAGGTGTTAAATAGGCAAAATAAAAGTTGTGGTATTACAATAAAATAAAATAAAATTAGTTGGTATATTATTTTGGGAATGAAAAATGTTTGGGTATTAAAAAAATGTGTCCTTTAATGAAAATTTCCCATCAATTTATCACACCAACTACTCCAAAATTAAGATGGCTATCATCTGATGATACTAAAAAAAAGTAAGAACATATATAATTGGTCATTAAAACAAAAAAAAATGGTAGGGAAATCCATTGCACACTGAAAAAAAAAATATACCAAAAATTCAATATATTTATAACTATGTTAAGACAAAGACACCAAGTGAGAACCAAATAATATATTTCCAATCATGTGTTTTGTAAAAACTCAAATCAAAGGGTACAATTCATCAAAAGTAAACAATAATCATCAATATAAGAAATATGACGCAGAATGCTAGAATTGCTCAAATAAGAACCAAATTAATTAGAAGATCGTGAGGATATCATGTACGTATGTCTCGAAACCATTGACTTCACTATAGGTTCTTCTAAGCAATCATAGAAGAAAATGAGGAAGAAAGCAAGCACGCAAGAAACCAAGAAAGTAAACAACAAATCAACAAAGCAAGTAAAAAAGCACCGAATCAAGAAATCAAAGAGTCAAGGAAAGAAGTTAATAAAAGCAAAAATAGTAAGTTAGCAAGAAAATAAAACAAAAAAATCATAAAACCAAGTAAACAATGAAGGATGGAAGCAACTATGAATGTAAACGAGTAAGCAAGTATGCAAATATGTATGAATGTTTGTGTGTGTGTGTATGTATATGTATGTATGTGTCCATGTGTGTATGCATTCTCAAGTGATTGGGAAGAACCTATAGTGAAGTCAATGGTTTCGAGACAAGCCACATTAGGCTTTGAATTATGCTAACATTTATAAAATGTAAACGAGTAAGCAAGTATGCAAATATGTATGAATGTTTGTGTGTGTGTGTATGTATATGTATGTATGTGTGCATGTGTGTATGCATTCTCAAGTGATTGGGAAGAACCCATAGTGAAGTCAATGGTTTCGAGACAAGCCACATTAGGCTTTGAATTATGCTAACATTTATAAAATGCTAAGATTTTGGATGCTTATTGAAGCACCTGTCTAATGAAAAAACAGAATTAGTCTTTACTTCACAAATGTTTTGCCCAAATTATATTTTGTCAAATTCAAAAAATAAATGAACATGAATCAAGTAAGCACGCAACTAAAGCAATTGAGGAAGAAAGCAAGCAAACACGTAAGAAACCAATGAAGTAAACAACAAATCAAGAAATCAAGTAAAGAAACAGGGAATCAAGAAAGCAAAGAATCAAGGAAGTAATGAAACACAAATCAATAAAATAAGCAAGCTAGTAAGTTGGCAAGAAAATAAAACAAAAACAAAAAATTCCCAAGAGCAAGTAAGCAATGAAGGTGAAGGCAAATATGAATGTAAATGAGTAAGCAAGAGTGCAAGTACGTATGTATGTGTGCAAGTGATTGGGAAGAACTTATAGAGAATGCAAGTATGAACGTATGTATGTATGCAAGTGATACATACATAGAGAATGCATAAATCTAAGTCAGAATTTATAGAGAATGCAAGTATGAACGTATGTATGTATGCACCTGTCCAATGGAAATCGAAGTCAGAATTTCATAAACTAATTACAAGCAAGTTTGAAAAGCACATATACCTGTTACAGAATTTGCTACACTTAAAATCTCCTAAGAACACCTTCCGAAGCACATACCTGAAAATAAAACAACAGAATTAATTAGTCTCTACTTATTCATTCGTAGTATTTGAAGCTGCTGCTTGTATTTTCCATCCAACGAATCAACAGAGAATCTGTTTTCCAATCATAGTCTAAGCCTTCACACTTTTGTTTCAGTCCCTGGTCGTTAATCCCATCCAAAGAATCTGTCTTGAGACTTTTGTTTCAGTCCTTGTCTTTAGAGTTTTTGTTTCATTCAAGCCTTGGATTGTGTTTTCATCTATAGTCTCTGTCTTATATAAGCCGAGAGAGTTACAGTCATAGTCTTTGTCTTGACCTTTGTAAGCCGTTGGTCGTTTTGGCGTTTCTCGTAAGACCTTTGTTAGTCAGAAACCAACCCACAGTTTTTTGTCTTTTGGCTTTTTGTGAGTGGTAAGACTTTTTTTTAGCCATTGGTCGCTGAAACCAAACCCACAGTCTATAAGCCTTGTGGTTATCGAATAGAAACTGTTCTTGGTTCATAGCCTTTGTCTCAAGACATATTTAAGCCGTTTGTGTATTCTTAAGGATTCTGTTTTTGATTCGTAGTCTTTGTCTTAAGACTTTTCTTAAGCCGTTGATCGTTTATTTCATCCAACAAGCCTTTTATTTCATCCAACAAGCCAAAGATCAACCCACAGTCTTTGTCAATACTTTTTCTAAGCCGTGAGTGGTATAAATTGAAGAATCTATTCTCGTCTCTCTTTGTCTTCAAGACTTCATTAAGCCGATTGGTAGTTTTAAATTTTAATCATCCAACACCATGAAATCTGACTCATAGTCTTTGTCTTTAAGACTTGTCTAAGCCATTGATCGTTTTTGTCCAGCCCTTAGTCTTTTTAAGCCATTAGTCTCCTTTTTTTTTCCATAAGCCGTGAGGTACCTGTTTTCGTCTCAGTCTGTGTCTTTCTCCACTTTTAAGCCTTATTGTAATCAAACATATATAGTTCTTGGGTCATAAGCCTTTGTCTTAAAGAATCTACTATTCTCGTCTCACTTTGTCTTTTTGAGACTTCTTTAAGCCGTTGGTAGTTTTAATCATCAAACCCGACGAAATCTGACTCATAGTCTTTGTCTTAAGACTTGTCTAAGCCATAGCCATTAGTCTTTTTCTTTCCTAAGCCGTGAGTTACCTGCTTTCGTCTCTGTCTTTGTCTGGGGTCATAAGCCTTAGTCTTAAAACTTTTTTCCCCATCCAAATGGTTCTCTCTGCTTAAAGCCACTGCTCGTTATGTACATTCCATCAAGCCTTTGGTCGTTATACTCCATTCCATCCATGTAATCGAACAAAGATATTCTTAAGCCGTGGGTGTAGCAAAGTAAGGATCTGTTTCCCATTCGTAGTCTTTTGTCTTAAGACTTTCTTCAGCCGTGTGGACTTATTTTGCCATCCCCTCACATCATTCCTTAGACATGCACTACCAACCCATATCATCGGTCCAATTAACAATCTTGGTATACGTTTCTTCGAGAGGCAGCAACGGGACAATGTTCCCAAATAAGAATCTGACAGAACACTATTAGATTAGTGTCTGCATATGATCTTTTTGGGTTTGAAGTGAAAAACAAAAACACCCAAACAATATCCAAACCAAATAAATCTATAGAGTGCTACCTAATCTCTTGGATTTGATAAAACCAAAAAAACAAAAGGCTTTGATTGAAATCTTGTTAAAAGACATCACCGAGTGGAGAACTGATCAAATGTGTTTGTCCTCCCTCGAAACCATCCTCAAGGAGAAGAAAATCAGGAAAACAAAACGGGAAACTCTAACAAAGACAGAGAACGTACCTTAAAGACTGCTTCACACTGAGTCAAGCTTCGAAACAAAACCCGGAGAAGATCACTGCAAAAGTTAAAGTCTAAACAATTAGGAAAACTGGAGGCTAACTAAGATAAATGTTCATAGCATTCACTCTGCCAAAACCATGTAAATATAGCATTATTCCTACCTTTTTCTTTTCTTCCTCAAGGCTTTTGTCTCTTTGGACCAAAGCTGCAATTCATCGCTTAACCTCTCTCATTCATGCTGATACTGTGAAGCCACATCTGCTGCATCTTCTTCGTTTCTGAGGAGATAAAAACATAAACAATAGTCAGATACAACATAACCATGTTCATGATAAATCCTTACAATTTTAAAGACGCAACTTAGAAACTCTAGCATGAACAAAGGATGATATAAAACTGTTCAAACGAAAACCATGTTCACACACTAACTACGGGGCTTGTTAGACAGTATACAAGAAGATGAATTTACCAAAACCATGTTCATACACTAACTAACTGTGGGGCTTGTTAGACATTATACAAGAAAAATGAATTTTAAAAGGTTGCCTGGGGAATAAAGATTGCGAGGTTCAACACTCCTAATAGCCAACTCCTACATTGAGAACAGAACATAAAACCTGAATGTCTCTTTCTTTTTCCTCAAGGCTTTTGTCTCTTTGGATCAAGGCTGCAATTCATCGCTTAACCTCTCTCATTTATGCGGATACTGTGAAGCCACATCTGCTGCATCTTCTTCATTTCTGAGGAGATAAAAACAGAAACTATAGTCAGATACAACATAACCATGTTGAATTTACCAAAACCATGTTCATACACTAACTAACTGTGGGGCTTGTGAGACATTATACAAGAAAAATGAATGTAAAAGGTTGCCTGGGGAATAAAGATTGCGAGGTTCAACACTCCTAATAGCAACCTCCTACATTGAGAACAGAACATAAAACCTGAATGAAACCATCTGGGATTCCTGGAATCTAAGATATATACACAAAAGCTATGAACATAACATACAGATCTTTTCACAGACCTTGACCACCACCGTTTGTTGGATCCAATCTGTATCAAAATGCAAGGAAATATGTGATTATAAATGACAGGAAACAATGTCGAAAAGGTCATCCATGTAAGAGCAGATCCACGACCATTAATGAAAGTCTCACTCTTTGACTTGCCACGCTCTCATTCTTGATCACAATGGTTCATATGATCTGGTAAAAAGAAAGATTTCATGATTGTGAGTAAGATTTCAAAACAAGAAAAGGGACAAAAAATAAACCCTAACCAAGATCGACAACGATTGGAAAATTTGAAACCAACAAAATTAAAATCGCTAACAGATACATGAAATTTAGAAACCCATACCAAAGATCAGTGCAAAAATCAAACTTGAGAACAATTGGAAAATTAAAGACAATGAAATTGAAATCGCTAACCCTAACTAAAGCAAAGATCACTGCAAAAATCAAACTTGAGAACGATTAGAAATTTGAAAACACCGAAATCGAAATCACCAACAGATACAACATAAGAACGATTAATATGAAACTTAGAAACCCTAATTAACAGAGACATACTTCGGTGCCGAGCGAGAAACCCCACCAATCGGATCGGTTTACAGTCGGAATCATGTTTTGAAAGAAAATGAAAAAGAAGAAAAAATTAAGATCAAGGATTCCGTTTCGTCAAATTCGAGAATTCATCAAAAGAAAAAAAAAAAGAAAAAGAGAAGAAGAAGAGAAATAATTTGGGATAGTGAGAATGTGTAGAAATAAAATTTGGGAGATTATCATTGGGTTTGCCAAAAAACATATTCTAACCCACATCAAAAAAAAAAACATATTCTAACGGCTATGCACCTTGTCATTATGTATAATTTAAATTTAAGAGAGAAAATAAATTTGTAACTTTATAGCTGTTAAAAAAAAAATTAAAAAACTATATCAAAACTAATGGTATAAGCCAGTAAGAATGTTTATATAATATTATTTTTATCAAACACCAAAATATTAATTAAAATATATTAAAATAGATACAAAACAAAAAATTATCATATTATAATAAAAAATTAAATTTAAAATATTTAACTCAAAAAATTAATAAATACAAAATTATGTCAAAAATTTAAACTATCAAAATAAAAACTCAATATAACAAAAACTAAACTAACAAAAAATAATCTATGCTCCATACCATTATGTATAATTTACTACAAACAAAAAATATTAATAAAAATAAAAAAATATTATATATATTTTTTTATTAATAGTTTCACATCTCTAACTCATTCTTTTTAATCGATATCTTTTTAAATTTTTATATGTGAATTTTATATAAAATTATTTTAGTTCATATGTTATTACTAGTTTATCAGTTGTATATGGTTTTTATACGTGAGATTAAAAATTTCTTTGCTGTTATTATTTTGTTTGTTTTCTTTTAATAATTAAATTAGTTTCATGTGCGATATAAAATAATTATTATCTATTTAAATCAGTATAACATTTAAATTATATAACATAATGAAATTGATTTTATATCAATTTTATATAATATTATGTTATAATATTGATACTTTAGTTTTTCATCTATTATAAAATATAAGATAATTTAGTTATTATATAAATCAATTTAAAAATTAAATACCATGTGCCATTTGAATATAAATACAAAGTCAATGTATATATTTTATATATCTCATTATTAAAGACATAATTTTTATCTTTTTAATTTGGAAATTAACAAATATAACTATAAATTAACATAAATATTTTTTGTAAAATAAAAGAAACAATTCTTGACTCCAAAAAAAATAATCTAAAAATATTATTCAAAATCTAATAATATTTTACAAATAAATTTACATATAAAAGTATAGATTAGTCTTCAAGATTATTTAAATATTTTAAATATGTGTTAATTGAAAATCTATGAAAACTCAAATTCGATCTAAGATTGAACAAGAGTTTGTAGATTTAAAGAGAAATATTTATTAAGATTTTATCCGGAGCTTGAGAGATGCACGGTGGTTCAGGTCGTCGTAATAAAACGCCGATCTAAACTGTTTATGGAAATAAAATCAAGAGCTAAGAACAACAAGAATGCTTAGTTTGCCTAGGTTTCGAGAGAAGATTTTCGGATGATTTGAGAAGCCAATAGCTTCCTATATTTGTACCCGATCAGGTCGGTCTTCTGGAGATAACTTCGTATATCTGAAATAGGAAAACTTCTTTGCCGATAAGACCAATCTTCCGATTTTTCTGGATTAGACCGATAAATGGAGAATTTTCTTTATTCTGGCCGGCCTGAATAGTCTTTGGGTTTGCCAAAATGGTCCGACCAGAATTCATGTCGGGCTTTTTAGAGATGGTACGAATCTCATCTCTAACAGTAAGTCCCCCCCCCCCTAGTTCGGGAAGTGAGGATGCGAGACTTGGTGAACTTTAAGAAAAGTAGCTCGGCATGAAATGAGGTCGGCCACTGCCTAAGTTAGAATATAAACACAATTTTACCTCGAGTTTCTGATCGGTGACGATATGATGGTCAGATCATCAAATGGGCGCGAAAAGTTCCCGCCAAAAGTAGGCTAGGTCTGCGCATGCAAAAGTAGGCTTGACATGTATCAAACGATAGAGGAGGAAAGCGAAGAGGTCGATTTAAAGTAAAATGAGAAGAAATGCGAATGACGCAGAAATCATGATGACTCTCGATAACCGTCCTCATTTCTGTATAAATGGGGGAGGCTCAGCTCATAAATTTTCACTTCTGCATTTTAGCAAAACTCTGTCAAAAGGTTTGCTCTCTTTTCTCTCTTCTTTGTTCTTTGTTTTTTATATTTTCCGATCAGATCTCCGTCACACTTCGTTCGAACTCCGCCGTTTGATTTCTCCGGTTTGCTCAAAGCCACCGCCAGAGATCATCATGAGCAAAAGTTTGAAGATCAGAGAAGGCCGATCAGAGTCGAAAGGAAACAGGTAGGCTCAAGCGAAAGCCAATGAGATCGGTGTTTCTTTGAGTGAGTTCCTCCAGGTGTCAAGAGACGATCAGGCTGTAAGGGGGCGATCAAAAGGAAAAGAGGTCGTTGCTGAGAAATCAGGGTCAGATCGGTCCTCGAATGCGAGTGACCTCTCCGCACTGGATCGGGAATTCCAGGAGCGTGTAAGGGTGAAGAACCAAGCAGCGGTGGATCGATTTCACGCTGACCAGATCGGGTCTGTTCTCAGATCTGGGGAGATATCTTCCAGAATAGAGTTCGAGATTCCCAAGCTACGGGACGAGGCTGATGAGAGAGATGGATTTAACGAGATGGATATCTCGGACGAATTGAATGTCATTATCGTGGAGGATGAAGTCAACCAGTTCGGCATCATTTGAATAGAATCCTCCAGTAAGGAAAGTCAAGAGACCAAAAGGGGAGAGAATAGTCTAGCCGATCTGCGACAACGCCCTAGGAGTGATGCCAACCAGATCCACTACAAAATCTCATGTTACCTTGAAGGAGGAATGTGACAACGGCTCTGAAGTGATTTTTATGATCCCAAGCCTGTCAGAGCGACCATGGAATGCGTTAAAGGGGTGGTTTTGCGTCTACGAATGTTTCTTCAGGGAGTTTCACTTATGGTTTCCCCTTCCGAGACTTCTACTAGAATTTGCCGACTGCAAAGGGATGTCGATCTCCTAATTCTCCCACTCTACAATTCGTTTGATAGTGAGTATGCTAGTGATGCCGATCAAGTATGATATTCTGTTGAGTCGAACTGCCTTCGAAGCGATGACGAACACCAGGAGAACTAAGGAGAAACTGAGAAACTGGGTTTCGTATTATACAAGCATGAAGACGAAGTTTAACGTCGTCACTAGTGGTCAGAAGTCGAAGATTAACGACTCGAGGGATTGATACTTCTTCGTATTGATGAACGAATTCTCCATCGTTGACCGAGATGGTCCGATTCGAACAAAGTGGGTGGAGGTCATGGGTAGAAATTTACCCGACCTGAAGTTTAAAAGTCGTTGATCACTATAGTTTTTCTCTCCTTTTTGATCGGTTTTCTTCTTATTTTGCAGATAACAGACCCCTTCCGATAATCAACGATCTGCTAGATATATACAATATCAAGTATTTTGTATTTGTTAGATTATGATGTATCCTGTTTTCCGTTCTGGCACATAAATGAAATAGAATTTTTTCAAAAATTTTGAACATAAACTGCGATACGATATCGGCTTTAAATTGTTCATGCGATTAAATTTCTAAGTATGAGTAGAATATGCGAGTGAGGTATGCCCGTAATTTAATACTTTAGATATTTTTCCTAAGTCGAATGCAAGGTGCGACCGGGTCGGCTTAATAGTTTTGCATGACTTAAGAAATGCAGAGCGGGTTTTGGCTTTAGAAAAGTGTGAAGACGAACGTGCGAGAATTCCGGTTTATGTTGTTTGTACCACTTATCTTATAAGTGTGAATACTCAATGCGTGATTCAGGTCGGCGTCATTTTATCAACACCACTTAGAAGTATCTGAGTTGAATGCGGGTGAAAGACTGACTTGGCTGATAATTAAGCATCACTCAGATCGATTGAAACAGGTTAAACTGTATTATGCAAAACAGACTTGGCTTTTAAGTTGTCGAGCTAAAGTGGATCAGACTTTAGCTTTAGATGAATCGAGAATCTGGCCATGATGCCGATGTCAAATTGATGGTAAAAGTAATTAAAATTATGATTCGTCAATAAATAAAGGAGAAAGTGAAGACTTACAAACTCGAAAAGCTCGAAAAAGGTAAAAGTATGTGAATTCCCCCCCCCCCCCCCCCCCCCCCCCCCCCCCCCCCCCCCCCCCCCCCCCCCCCCCCCCCCCACCGTTTTAGGAGGGGGAGCAGCTGTGTCGTACCCCTTTCGGGGATCAAACCTCTTCGTAGTTCATAGGTATTATTCCTTTTCTTTTTTATATTTCAACCTGAAGAAGATGCCGATCTAGCTGTAGTACCGTTTAAGGTTCAAAGAATTCCATACTCGTAAAATTAGTTCATCGTCCATTGCTTCGAGACAATAGACACCCGGTTTGACTATGTTCGTGATGATGTAAGGACCTTCCCAGTTAGCTCCAAAAGTTTCCCACGTTGTCTTCTTTGGTGTTTTCGTAGACTTTTCGAATGACGATGTTGCCTTTGTTGAAGTGTCTATTAGGCACCTTCTTGTTGTAGTACCAAGCTGCATGGTTCTGTTAATTCTGCATTCTGAGCAAGGCTTGGTTGCGTGTTTCTTCGAACGTGTCAAGGTTGTCGACCAGCATTGCTGCGTTCACGGCGGAGAAGTCCGGGAGTACTCTGCGTTGTAGGCTGCCGACATTAATCTCCGTAGGAACCATGGCTTCACATCCAAATGAGAGCGAGAAGGGAGTCTTCTCGGTAGCTGTTCGTGGAGTTGTGCGATGAGACCAGAGCACGCCGTCCAGCTCGTCGGCCCAGAAACCCTTCTTGGCATTGAGACGCTTCAGCTTGTACGTTCCCTTGCTGATGACGGAGGGTAAACTTGTTGAGGTGTATCTTCCATTTGGTGCACAAATCTTCGAACTTCTTAGATATGAATTGTGAACCGTTGTCGGTGACTATCTTGTAAGGGAGGCCATGTCGGCAAATAATGTACCTCCAGACAAAGTTTTTCACTTTGGTAGCGGTGACGTGAGCGCCTTGGCTTCAACCTATTTAGTAAAGTAATCGGTCATTATGAGCACATACTTGCGCTGATGAGAAGAAATCATAGGTCCGGCGATATCCACTGTCCAGCGCATGAAAGAAAACGGAGGGATCGCTGAAGTTAAAACTCAGTCGGTTGATGGATCATCGGGGCATATCGCTGGGAGTATTC